AGATTATTAAGGACGAGTGGAGTAAAATCACTCCGCAGCAATGTGAGTCTTTAGTCCGCTCCATGAATAGGAGATGCGATGAAGTGATTCGTCAAAAAGGATTCCCAACGAAGTACTGACTGGCATTTATTGAAAAGACGATAACTTGGCTTTAATATGCATTACTTTGGCGGTGACTTAATTATATGAGCACGAATCATATGGTCAAATATAATATTAAAATTAACTAAAATTAATTCAATACTTTTAAACATTAAAAATGTAAACAAACTTTGAACATGAAATCCGCAGTTTTGATTCTATATGTTTTTTTGTTCATTTTCAATAATAAAACCACTTTTTTTAGATATATATTTTTTGCTGAATGGTGTAACTTAATTATATGAGCACAAGTGTACATATGTAAATTGACATAATATTTTTGGATATTCTTAGATAAATTTGCCATTTATTTCAATTCAATTTTTCTTCACATTGTTTGAATATTGCCAGCGAGCAAAATATCCGGAAACCTATCCGAAAATGGAAACAATTTCGTATAAAAACCTGATGTTTCATCCGTTTTCCGATTCCGTTTTCGGACGTTTTCAGATCAATTCTCCCACTAAAGTGTTCAGCCGAAACGTATGTTCAGAAGACTATGGAAAATGGTTGTAAAACGGATGCGCTTTCGGCTGTTCTCCTGAAATTTGTCTGATTCAATTTTTCGTTGAAAACGATTTCATTATGAACCTCACAGAAAATTTTTCATAGTTACTGGAAACCAAACAAAAAACAATTTTAAGGTTCAGCAATTACTTCAATTTGAATAAATAATTTTAATGTGTTGCTTCTGACGGAATTCGAACATGGGACCACCTGAAGCTAACAAATAGTAGCACACTTCTCTGCTCACTCAGCTACTGACGAATACGTATACATGTTTTCAAATACTCAGTTTGAACAAACATTTTAAAATTATTGTTTTGAAATAAGATGATGACATTTTTCGGATACGAAAAATTAACAAATATGGAAATCGTTTTCTGAACATTCCCGGATACGAAAAATGTACGAAAACTGCACTTTCGGCAAAAAGTACGTTTCTCTGCTGGCTGCGTTGTTATGACTACACCCATATCAGAACAATACATACTCAAATTCAAAAAAGTTTCAAGCCAAAATCATTCATTCTTATATGAATAATTTATATGCCGCTTTGAATGAATTCATGCAGCCCTCTAGTCTGTACCTCCCCAACGGGGCCAGAAGCGCTCCTTTAGTGATATAAGATTTTTCGTTATAACTCCTCCATTTAAGTAGCTATTAACATGAAATTTTGTACTGTTGTCACTCATTATCAAAAAAATACTTTCAGTGAAAATGGCGAAGACCAGGTCGCTATAACCTATAGCCTTCATATGTTCAGATATGAGATTTTTTGCCATAACTTCTCCATTTATGCAGCTAGGAACAAGAAAATTCTCACCGTCTTCAGTCATTTATTAACAGAATATTTACAGTGAAAATAACTAAGATCAGGTCACTATAACATATATCTCCCATTCAACTGATTGTTCAGATATGAGATTTTTTGTAATAACTCCTCCTATGCAGATGGGAACATGAAATTTCGCAATATTTTTTATTTTAAGCGTGGAAATAGCAGAGGTAGAATTTTTTAGCAGATAGAGAATTTTTTTTTATTTCCGAAAGGCGCATGGCATGGAAAATTTATGAAATCGCTTTTTGACTGTTTACACGGCGAATGAATTTCTAGCAATATTTCTCGATACTAAAATGCAACCGTGAGCCGCTAAAATAAACAAATTTATAAAAGCAAGATAACGAAAAATAAATGGATTTAGAAAAACATATGAAGGGGGTCGATACTGCGTTTTTTTAACGTGGTTTCCCCAGTAGGCCTAATCCATGGGCAACGTTTTTTTTTTGTTTTTTTCAATGAAAGCAGGTGAAGGTGTGGAAATTAGTTTTACGTCGCATTCCGTTCATCGCTATGTTTATCGCGTTTCCCGGCCGTGATCTAAGCGTTGTACAAAAAAATGTAGGTACAAAAGTTGTGGAGAATGAAATTATCTACAACTTTGGAATTTCAATATGCTATGTATTTTCACAGAAATTGTCAAAGAATGGCGAAAACCGTGACAATGTAAAATTTTTTTCGAAGTTTTTGTCCATTTTTACAAAAAAAAAAGCGATATTTTTAAACATCTTCTATATAACAAATCTGACAAATTAAATTCTCTACATATTTGTATTTGACCATTTTTTTACGAAAAGCAAAATAAGCTTGCAAATCGCAAAAAACCAAAGAAAAAACTTAAATCCAAGATGTCGGAATGTTGCCAAATGAAATGCAGGGGCAAGACTATGGATCCATGATCTACGTGTCAAATAGAAGTAAACTGCAACAAAAAATTGCTGTTACAAATTTTTTGTAAAGAAAAAGTCTAATTTTACTGGGCTAT